ACTGACCTTAGAAAAGGAGATCACAGATTTTTCTATGACCTTGCTCAGCAAATCTGCAGGTGGGCACCAGTCAGAAGCGTTGGTCCTTTGATGGAGATCCTTCACCTTTGATTTCTTCCAGCACAAGAAATCACTTTCAAGGGAGGGACTGTGCTTTGGGTCAGGAGATGGAGGCAGTGGCTCCAAGCGTGCCTTGGCTACAGGCAGTTCATCTTGATAGCCTGGTCCCATGTGGTGCTACCTGGTTACATCACTTTGGCTCTGGACAGGATGAGAGGTAGCTAAGGTTGTGGTGGTAAGTAAATACTCATTCCCCATGGAGGCTGCTAGTCAAAAGTGAACAGATGAAGTGTGTGTAGAAGTATGCGATACTAAGTGTCCAGTCACTCACCCAGTTTTCACCCTGTTTTTTTTCCTCTCCTCGCTCCCCAGCTGTGGGGACACCCGGCTCCCTGCAGCTTGGGATTCTCGAAGAAGTTCTCACGGGAACTATCACATTCTCAAAGGGCAAGTAAACATCCCAGGGCACTTATGTCAGCACATATGTTTCCTCTGGCCCCATAGACCCTCTCATTCCCACCATACAAGCACATGCTGAGCGCCAATCAGCTCCATGTGTTCCATCGAAGCACGAAATGCACACTCTTGCCAAGTGCTCCACAACACAGCCTGTCTCCATCTCTCCTCCAGACAGGTCATGCTGAATGCTGGAGACAGAACTGATGCTGAGATGACACACACAGATAGTCAATGAGTCAACAAGGTGATCAAAAAAAGTCCCACAGCTAAATTCCTCCTGAAATCCACAGGAAAAATGTGCATGACTAGAAACAGGACAGGAATTACAGACAAGCTCTACCTGACCCACTGTCCACTGTGCAAGACCAGATTTCTTTTTAAAAGTCACCAAAGTTTGGATCTCTCTTTGTTAACATAACTTTTACTTTGATTTAACTCCATTGGTTCCAGCTTGACCATGCTGAATTTACTGTATAGACTTGAAGGCAAAATCAGACCTTGTGGGCATCCTTTTCACTTGGTGACTCAAACTGCTCAGGGAATGCTTACAGATGTGGTTTCCTGCACAAAATCTGTGCAGTGGAGAATGGGGCAGTGATTTGAATTTTAGGCATTTTAATAAAGTAAAAATAATAATAACAGCAGCAACAACAACAACAATAATAATAATAAAAGAATATACAAAGCAAGTGATGCACAGTGCAATTGCTCACCACCCACCGACCAATGCCCAGCCTGTCCCCAAGCAGTGATCGCCACTCCCCGGCCAACTCCCCCCAGTTTCTATACTGCCCATGATGCCATATAGTATGGAATAGCCCTTTGGCCAGTTCAGGTCAGCTGGCCTGGCTGTGACCCCTCCCGGCTCCTTGTGCACCTGGCAGAGCACAGGAAGCTGAAAAGTCCTTGAATTAGTGTAAACACTACTTAGCAACAACTAAAACATTGGTGTGTTATCAGCATTCTTCTCATCCTAAATCCAAACCACAGCACTATATCAGCTACTAGGAAGAAAATTAACTCTATCCCAGCCAAAACCAGGACATATTATTATCTGGGAGCCTTTTTAATGGGTTTAGAGAGAAAAGGATGAAGGCTATTTTGCTGCTGGGGGGTGAAGATTTGGCTTTGTTCAATCTGCAGATAAATCCTTCTCATAGAGCTGGGATTATTCCAGAAAGATCAAGGCTTCCCATAAGGCCTGTGTCCTTCTAGCACTATGCAGACACCTTAGGGCGCTTCACATGGTATCTACGTGTGGGTCATTGACTGGAGCCCTGTGGTCAGTATGTGGGCGTCTGAGCCCTCAGCACAGTTGGTGGAGATCTGGTGAACACAGTCAGCAGAGCCCGGAGGGCTCTTCACCAGCAACGTCCATTTGGTTACCACTGGTATACATCTTGCTCTGGCATTGTTAACCTGCTGTATTGTGGGTAGAATGTAGTGTGGTTGTCTCAGTAATAGCTTATGAAAAAAAACCCCAAAACAGAAAAGAGGCTCACTTTGTTTCCTTTTTTCTTTAAATACTTACTTTATTGAGAAGATATTACAAACTATCAGCCCTAATTTTCCCCAGAAGCTGGGACACCCACACTGGCCATGGTCAACAGTGGAAGATCCAGTGATATCCAGGAAAGCTACTGACATCGACTCACTGCCCTCTCTATGTGCAGGGACACAGGAATACAACTGGCAAACCTCACACCACCTCCTCTTCCTGGTAAAAATCTCTTCAGCCCTACGCTAGGCTAATGACAAGGAAATAAATGCTAGCTATCCTGTGATTACTTTCTCCCCATTGAAGGCCTCTGCTGTACCTCTGGCCCTCAACAAGCCTAACAGGGCTGTTTGGCTTCGCTCGTTTGGCTCAGCCATATTCTTCCCAAGGAACATAGTTTCCCAGTCCTGCAGTGAAGTATCTATCCACCACATGGCCCAGACCCATTTTTCTAACAAGGGTGTCCCTTAGGCTCCCCTAGAACATCCTAAACTTGTTGTTTTCCCCTATATGTCTGCCTTTTCTGTCCCAGAAATGAATCTCCACCAGGTTAGAGCAATTTGAGGGGAAGCTTTGTATCAATCGATTTGGCTACGGTTTATAGGTGAGAGGACAGAGGTAGGTTAGAATCATAGAATCATAGAATCGTTTAGGTTGGAAAAGACCTTTAAGATCATCCAGTCCAACCATTAACCTACACTACCAAGTCTAGTCTAAGCCAATCAAGGGTAGACTAGACTAAGCCGTGTCCTGAAGTGCCACATCTACCCGTTTTTTGAACACTTCCAGGGATGGTGACTCCACCACCTCTCTGGGCAGCCTGTTCCAATTCTTGACCACCCTTTCCGTAAAGAAATTTTTCCTAATTTCCAACCTAAACCTCCCCTGGTGCAGCTTAATTCCTTCAGAGGTGGTCAGAGCTTGCTTTGCTGTTTGAAATCATGTCCTGGGCCTGACTATATCAAAGGCAGAGGGAGTCTAAACACCAAAATTACTCTGTGCTTTTGAGGTTTGACAGTGTGCTCAGTGTTGGGCTTGAGCCATTGCATCAAAACACCTCAACCTAATGGGGTCCAAGTAGCTGGTAAAAGCAAAGCTCAAGTGCAATTTGCCCTGTTCTCTTCCTTCACTCCATGCCTCAGTTTCCCTGCCTGGAGACACAGCTGCTCCAGAGTAGCAGTAGGCAGTGCAGACAATCAGCAGCTTGGGTCTGAAGCATCAACAGCAGGTAGTTGCCCAAAGTGATATTGCATGACTTTCAGATGGCTCCAAGAGGATGCCATGCGCAACATGTCCTGGGAGAAGGAAGTGGTGTGTGCCTTGGGGATGGCCTTCATTTTCCTGCACAAAACCAGAGAGGCAGAGCTACTATCTCACCATGGAACACTTTTCCACTTGCCTCTTGGACTCTATGTATTACAGCAACACAACGAACCCTAATATGCATCTTTGCTCTGCAGTGGCCAGGTAGCCATGTAGCAGTGCTGCAGAGAAATCTTAGGGAGTGACTCAGGGGATTGTGGATTCCCTCCACATCTCCACTTCACCAGGGACTTTCGAGACACAAAGATCCATCTGACCAAGGAACACTCAAACAAAATCATCATCAGTAAGCAATAAAGACTGCTGAACTGTCCATGCATTTCAGCAGCTGCACAGTCCCCTTTACACCAGGGAGAGGAAGGGAAAACATCCCAACAGGGAATAATTTCCAGTTCTGTAGTCCATAAAGTCTGAAGAATTTTTCAACTATTTCTGCTGCTTGGGTTGAATTCCCTAAATCATGCCCAATAAAGTCAATATCCTACCAAGAGCTTCACAGTAACAGGTAGGGAAGCAGGTGGCTGAGAAGCAGCCTCAGTGTCGGCTCAAGTTTATGGAGTCACCAATGCCTCTGGGACTTGTGGTAGCAAAGGCACCTGCTCAACAGAGATGTAAAACTCAATGCTAAGAAATGCCATTCTCATTTACATCCACGCCGTGAGGTTGTGGGGGCACAAACCAGAATACAACCTGCTGGAATCTGGGCTAGCTTTGGAAAAACAGTCATTGATTTTGCATAACTTAGTTTTAAGGACCTAGCTTAAGCCAATCTGGGAGCCTGGTTTGGAGGAGTCAAGGCTTAAAAGCCTGGTCTGGCTAGTGGTAGTTTCTCCCAAATCTGTACCACCCAGCTGACTAGGGTCCATCAGCCCAGTGGGATCAAGGTGTGGATCAGAGCTACATGAAGGGGAAGTAGAGAGTTGGCTCTTGCTTTAAATCCTTGCCTAGATGGGACAGGTTCCCTTCAGCTTTCTCAGAAACACAGTAATATAATAAAAATAAATCCTGCCGGGTCTTCCTGGCTATATATTACCCACACAAGACAATTTTGGCATCCACAACTTTGGCAGCCTTTGGAAGCACAAGCATACCATTGTGAAGGATGCCAAGCTCTTATCTCTCCATCTCCAAGCGCTCTGAGGAGGCTCGGCTCCCCAGCCCCATCCCATAGCTGTAAGCAGGTGATACCCCAGGGGTTGTCCTCAGAAAAGATGCAGAGGACTGGTTGTCAGCAGTGCTCAGCCCCCTCAACCTCACTGTCCCCTCAGGTTGACCTCCCCACCTCCAGATACTGCACACATAAGGCGAAGAGAGTTTGCCTCCATCCCTGCCCTTTCCCAAAGGTCTTTCCCCCAGGAGCAGGCACCAGACCCACTCAGCTCTCCTCTTCACCCTTCATGGGGGCCAGTGCTCTCTGTTCAGTGTGGTGGGGTCCACTGCCGGTCCTTGTGGCCTCCCCCTGTTTTGCACAGGGAGCAGTTCCTTCCCGTGTGTGGATTTTCTGGTGCCTCCTCAGGTACTTCTTCAGCCGGTAGCGCTTCCCACAGACCCCACACTTGTAGGCCCCACCTCGGGAGTGGAGCAACTGATGTTTAATCAGGTGGCGCTTCTGGGGGAAGCATTTCCCACACTTGGTGCACTTGCAAGGCCCCATGCGGACGTGGATTGTTTGGTGACGGAAGAGGTTGGCCTTCTGGTTGAAGGTCTTCTCACACTCAGGGCACTGGTAGGGCTCCTCCTTGGTGTGGATCCTCTGATGCCGAACCAGATTTGACCGCTGGGTGAAGCTCTTCCCACACTCAGTGCACTTGAAGGGCTCGCTCATGTGGATTCGCTGGTGACGGATCAGCTTGCGGTTCATGCGGAAGCTCTCCCCGCATTCGCTGCACTTGTACGGCCCCTCGCTTGTGTGAATCTTCCTATGTCTGGTCAGGTTTGATTTCTGATTGAAACTCTTCCCACACTCGGGACAGGGGAATATCTGTTCACCCTTGGGAGCTCCTTTTGCTGAGGGATCTTTCTTGGATGTGGATTTCTCCTGGTTCTCCAGCATCCCCTCTTTGGTGGGCTGATAGCTTTTCTTCTGCTTCCTCTTTGGGCTCTGGCTCTCCTGGTGGTTGGCTTCCACACCAGGTTCCTCTTTAATTTGGATCCTCTGGATAGCACTGAGGTTTGGCTTCTGCCCATAATACATCCCAAACTCCATGCTTTCCTGTGGTTCTTCCTTCACATGGAGCACCCGGATACTGACTTCCCGGTCATGCTGCCCATCAGCATCTTCTTCCTTTTTAAGCTGTCTCCCCTGTAAAGCCATCAGTGGGATCTTTGGATTAAAGAGTTTTCCATAGTCCGGGTTTTCTGGTGGCTCTTCCTTGATGTAAAGCTTCTGGCAGGCTATTGCAGTAATGTTTACTGTGTCATCAGTGAGTGGGTCTGGTTCCTCCTTCATCTGGATTTTCCAAGGAGGGCTTTTTGGACTAGATGGGTATCTAGCTATGCTACACCCCTGGGCTACATCTCCTTCATGGGACATATTCTCCAACATATTCTCCTCTGACCTGAAGGCAAAATCAGGCTCCTCTTTAATCTGGATGACCTGGAGAGACATGCCATTGGTGTGTCCCTCGAGCGGCTTTTGCTTAGCATGGTTCCTCTGGTGGACATTGAAATACCGTTTGGTGCTCAAGCTCTTCCCACACTCCGTACAAATGAAAGGCCCCCCGCGGAGGTGTATCTTCTGGTGGGCCAGCAGCGTGGCACTTTGCCCAAAGCACCTGCTGCAGTCAGGGCATTTGAAAGGCTTCTCCCTCTTGTGTATCTCCTTGTGGGCAGTGAGGGTCCCCTTCTTCACAAAGCTCTTCCCACACTCAGCGCAGGCGTATGGCCTCTTGTCCGTGTGTGTCCGCATGTGGATATTGAAGTAGATCTTTGTGCTCAGGCTCTTGCCGCAGCGGGCACAGAGGTAGGGCCCACCCTTGGCGTGTGTCTTTTGGTGGGCAGCCAGGCATATCTCCAGGCGGAAGCAGCGCCCGCACTCCCTGCAGCAGAAGGGCCTCTCTCCTGTGTGGATGCTCTGGTGGGTCATGAGGTGGCCCCGGGTGGTGAAGCGCCTCCCACACTCCCTGCAAGTGAAGAGCTCCTCTGCCGTGTGGATCCGCTGGTGTCTCTTCAGGTTTCCCTTCTTGCTGAAGGATTTGCCACACTCCTGACACAGGTGTGTCTTTAGCACCATGCGCTTAACCAAGTCCTTCATGGCAGCAGTGCCCTGCACCCAGCAGTATGTGATGGAGCTGCCAAGCAGCCAGCAGGTACGAAAAAGCCTGAATGTTATGGGGATGGACTGTCTGGGAGGATACAAAAACCATCAGGACACACACATCAAAGTGTACTTTAATGGATGCACTTTATTCCCCATAGGGGAAAGGGTGCTGCTGCTGTACATCAGACCAACAAGGAGAGTATGGTCTTCCTCATTTCTCAGCCTCCTTCCACCTCAGCTTGCAGGTGCAATGTTTGTAACTCCATCTCCTGCCTCCTCTGATCTCCTGGAGAGGCTTCCCTGGCATTTCTGGGAAATCC